ATGAATCCCGCTGGCCGTGATGGTGTTGTAAGGTGCTGCTCCCTGCCCCGGCCGCCGTCGTAGCCGGAAAACTTCCCGTAGAAGTCCAAGCTCCCAGCGCCCTGCCGTGTGGAGTAATCCAGGTGTCAGGTGCCATGTGTTGCAGCTGTACAGCGCTAGATTCGAACGGCCTCTGTTCCATGCCCGCAAACGCTTCGTTGCGCTAAGCCCGGGGTTGTTCAACACGGAATAGTGTTTGTAGGAAAGAGCGCGCTTTGTGGTCGCTTGGAGGGGGTGGGGGGGGTTTGAAACCGGACCCTCCCTGGATGGAGGGGGGGGTTCGAACCCCCCCCGCCTCCTCCCGTGACAGGGGGGGGGTTCGAACCCCCCCCGCCCCCCCCTCCCTCCTCTGCGTCCACTCTCCTCGGGCCGGCGCTTGTGTCGGCGGCTGCTGGCGGCGGCGGCGGGGACGACGATTTCCATTTCTGAGCCGGCGCCGGCACCTGCGGCGGCGGGCGGCGGTGGCGGGGAGCGTCGACGAGGACGACGGTGGTTTGTGGTGGTGGTGGTGGTGGTGGTGATGGTGGTGTGGTGGTTTGTGGTGGTGGTAGTGGGTTGTGCTGCTGGTAGTGGTGGTGGTTGTGGCGGTGGTGGTGGTGGTGTGGTAGATTGTGGTTGTGGTGGTAGTGGTGGTGGTGGGTATTTGTGGTTGGTGGTGGTGGTGGTGGTGGTGGGTTGAAGCGGTGGTGGTGGTGGTAGTGGTGGTGGTGGTGGTAGTGGTGGTAAGTGCCGCTGTGTCCCCGCCGTCGCCGGCGCCAGCGCCGGCGCTGCTGGCCGCCGCCAGCGCCGGCGCCAGCGCGAGGGAGGGGGGGGTTTGAACCCCCCCCCCTCCCGGCGCCAAAGGGAGGGCGGGGGGGGTTTGAACACCCCGCTGGGCTGCCTCTGGTCATCGGCGCTGCTGGCGGCCGCTAGCGCCGGCGCCGGCGCCGAGGGGGGGGGGGAGTTTGACCCCCCCCCCTCTTGGGAGGGGGGAGGGGGGGGGTTCGGGAGTGGTGGGGGTGGGGGGAGGGGAGTCCCCTTGGTTTTGATCGACGGCGCCGAGTGTTGGGGGGGGCCCCACCCCCCGATTCGAAACGCGCCGCCGAATGTTCCCCAGGCAAGCGCCCGTGAAACGCGTTCTCTCGCTTGTAGAAATACCCATCCGCTCGACTCAGATTGAACTCCAGACTCGCCAATGAGTTCCGTGCGGATCGAATAAATCCCCCAGCGATTCTAATCGGTCCGTTTCTGCATACGCCAAAGGAAGCCTGGCCTGCGTAATGGCCAAGTCGCCTGGCGGAGCTGCCCACAGCCGCCCTCCCTGGATGAATTCCAACGAGGAAGGTTTCCATCGGAAGTGTGACGCTCGCCGTGTGCATCCATGAACTGACCAATAGCAGCGTCCAAATCATTAATCGCAGATTGCATCATGGCCAAGGTGGTAGCGAAGAGGACCACGTAGTCTGCCCGGATCACATTGTGAATCAAATACTCCGCGTTCCCGTTCTCGTCTGACAACGAGATCCCCATCCCGAGAGATTGCCATGTGTCCACGGCGGGCTGAAGAACGTGCTGCAATAGTGCATTCCATTCCATTGGCGTCTCGACTCTCCCTTGCTTGCCGCCACGGGAGAAACTGAGAAGAGGAGTGCTCCCGACCATAGGCAATGTGATCCGAGCTTCGACGCCAGTGAGCTCGCTTGTGAGAATGGCTGCGTCCCACGTTGACGCTCCACGGGCCTGCATCCAGTCTGACATGAGCCCGTGCGGCATGGAGTCGACGGCTGTTGCCACATCTTGCGCCCCAATTAACACCAGTAAGTTCCATGCTCTGGAATGGTGCAACACCTCCCGCACAACGCTCGTGAGATGATAGGTCGAAGTCGACTTCCGGAAACCATCTAGGTGGACCCTGGAAGGGATACGGTGGGGGCGTTGGTTAAGGAATGTGCCCAGGAGGCTTCAGACCCTGGGGGGTTTCTTATCCAATAAGGGCGGCGGTGATATCCATGGCCGATTCACGATTGGAGTTGCACTGGCTTGCAGACCCTGGATTCCTTACCTAAGGGTTCCTTATCCAATGCCCCCCACCGTAGGCGGACCCTGGAAGGGATAATGTTTTGTTGTATCTGGACGCGGCACGTGCGTAAAAAACATGTTTTGGAGAACCAGGGACTGGCCGATCCAGCAAGCAAATCGCCGAACAGTCGGACGCACTTCTCCTTCGGGAGCCCGGTGAATTCGAGTACACATTGTTCATCTCTAATTGTTCGACAAATCTTTGATTTTTTGTTGGGCCCAGATCCTTTCATTCCCTACCTAGGCTCTGCCTAGAGGGTTCTTACTCTGTTTGCTTAAAGGGGCCGGGCAGTGGGGCTCGCCCTGGGCGGTTCCCCCAGTTGCGCCCCGCGGTTCCCCCAGTTGCGCCCCCTTACCTTAGCTTTGCATATCTCATCTTAGCTTAGCTTAGCTTAGCTTAGCTTCATCTTAGCTTCGCGTAGCTGTAGCTGTAGCTTAGCTTAGCTTAGCTTAGCTGAGCATTTCATAGCGTAGCTCTGCGTAGCGTAGCATAGCGCAGCATAGCACAGCATAGCATAGCGTAGCATAGCATAGCATAGCATAGCGCAACATCGCACATCATAGCATAGCATAGCGCAGCATAGCATAGCATACCACAGCCTAGCATAACATAGCGCAGTCTAGCGTAGCATAGCATAACGCAGCATAGCGCAGCATAGCATAGCATAGCATAGCATAGCATATCTTAGCATAGCATAGCATAGTATGACATAACATAGCATATCATAGTGCAGCATAGCATAGCATAGCATAGCATAGCATAGCATAGCATAGCATAGCATAGCATAGCATAGCATAGCATAGCATAGCATAGCATAGCATACCATAGCATATCTTAGCATATCATAGCATAGCATAGCATAGCATAGCATAGCATAGCATAGCATAGCATAGCATAGCATAGCATAGCATAGCATAGCAGCAAAGCAAAGGCAAATCAACAGCAGCAACAGCAAAACAAAGCACAAGCAACGCAAAGCAAAGCAAAGCAAAGCAAAAGCAAAAGCAAAGCAAAGGAAAGGCACAGCAAAATCAATGTGCAACAGTACGATCAGAGAACCCACCCGGTGAGCGAATGCAGAAACATGCGTGTGTGTTTGCGAAGGCAAAGCAAAAGCAAAACCAAGCAAAAACAACAACAAGCAAAAGCAAAGGCAACTACGACGATGAGTAGAAGGAGGAGGACGGCGTTTACCGTTACTACTAATGCTGCTTTCCTAGGGGCTCCAACTCCTAGGTAGGGTCGCACTGGGGTAATTTCTAAATGTTCTATCCTGGGCCTCTTCCTGGCCACTGGGGGGCCAGAACAAATAGAAACCACGATTAGAAATGAACGACGTGTATATACTCCAGTATGAAGAGAAGAAAATGCCAAGGTATCCAAAGACGCTGCGTACTCACTAAAACACTGGTGCACCCGGGCGACTCCCATGCTTCGTAACTGTCCGTGGGTATCCCGTTTGCTCCTGCCCCTTCCCCCGGACTTGACCTCAGCTCTTGTCTGCAAGGTGCCCCAGAGGTCCACTGGCCCTCCTCGTCCGTGATCTTCCGCGAGCCCAGCAAGCGCCTCCCACCTGTGGGTCTGCACATTTGGCGCGTCTCCTGCATCTCCACAACGGGCCTCCCCGAGGCGCAAGGCTCCCTCGAGCCACTCGGTCCCGTCGAAGCTCGGCCGGCCATCAATCTCAAACGAGGTTGGCGTGAGCTTCGGATGGGCCCCGCTCCATGGCCCGGAGACTGCTGCGTAGACGGTGCCCGCGCAGATCCCGAATGTGCTTCCGCACAGACTTCACGATGTTCTTCTTCGTCTCCACGTTCCTTTCCACTCGGAGCCCTAATTAGCCGTAGAGCTCGTAGGTGTTGTCGGACGGCGCCCTTGGCGTCGACCACTTTCGAAGATTGCTATTCGTGGTGTATTTCGGCCACTCCGTACAGACAGTCTTCAAACATGCACGCACGAACACCCCAAACTTTCGGCTTAACCATAGATGGCTGGAAGGATGGCAGAACGTCAGGATCGGTGAGAGCATTTGGGCAGACCCCCAGGATTTCTGGATTTGATCCCGGTCCTCGTGCCCAGAGCTGGCCCCCGTGAGGCTCTCCCAATCGATGTGCCCAACGACAGGTCGATGATCCATGCTGGTCGTGAGCGCCGGCTTAGACTGCAGATCCAAGAAGTGCAAAGCCTTCCCAGTCCCAGTGAGGCCCGAAGATACGGTGGGGGCGTTCGTTCAGGAACGTGCCCAGGAGGCTTCAGACCCTGGATGGTTCCTTATCTAGTAAGGGCGACGGTGATATCCGTGGCCGATTCGCGATCGGGGTTCCGCTGGCCCTGGATTCCTTATCTAGGGGTTCCTTGTCCGATGCCCCCACCGTGCTGCGACGTAGTCGATCTGCGACTTGGCGGCCGCACGGCGCTTCAAGCCGCAGGTCCACCGCTCCTGTGGGAAAACCCGCATTCCCGTATGTGTTAGCTCCCACTTCTGTTCCTCCTCTTTTTTTGCATTGGCCATGCGACGAGTCTCGCCGGCCGCTCCCAGCCCCCAGCGCGGGGTCGGAGCGGCAGAGAACAAGGGCAGGAGGCGCGGCGGTGCCGCGGCACGGAATGGGAGGAAAAATAAGGCTGTGGGAGGGCGGGGCAAGCGACCCCACTCTCGACCCCCAAATGCGACAGACATGCTGCAGGGCGCACGCGCGTGCGCACAGCGAAGCGAGGAGGGGGAGGTGAGAGTCTAACTTTGCTTCACCTTTGTGAATCCGAGTTAGCTCCCACTCCTGTTCCTCCTCTTTTTTTGCATTGGCCATGCGACGAGTCTCGCCGGCCGCTCCCAGCCCCAATGCCAATGTTGGGAAACGGGGAGGGGCCCAGAGACCAGGCACAGCGGCGCCCTAATTCTCAGGGCCGGAATCGTCGACGACGCCCTGCGCCAGCAGTCCGGCGGCGACCTCGTCGCCAGACACGTAGGGCCTGGCGGGCGCCACCGAACGCCAGCCGCCTCGCGCCAGCATGGCCTCCACGCCCGACGCGGCAAAAACGTCGGCAGCGGCCCCTCGCCGGACATCGTGCCCAAACCATTCCTCGGGGCAAGCGACCCCTACAGCGCGCAAGTGGCACCGAAACTCCGACGTCCAGGATGCCGGGGTGTACCCGCCGAGCGGGCGGCCCCCGCTGCGGAGGAGCTCGTCCCACACCGGCAACCACGTGTGCAGGCAGATACCCTCGTCTACTCCGCACGTGCAGAAGGAGAAAACCGTGCACAGATCAACCCTTTGCTTGCGACGGATTGGCCCATACACGAAACGACCGCCCTGTGGCTGCACGAGGGCGCGTTCGCATTGCGCAAACAGTTCTGACGGCATTCGCAGAAGAAAATTGTACGCTAACGCCGCGATCACACACCACCAAGTGCGCTGTTGCGACATTGCGTGGCGGAGCAAACGCCGCAGGAGCCGCCGGTCAACCCTGTGACGGGGCAGCCGGGGCGTCCTGCACTTAGCAGTGCCCAACCGGATACCACGGAGGATGATATCTTGATCCCCCTGCCACGGCACGCCGGCGACCTGGTGCGCCAGAACCCAAGCGCTAAGCCAGCCGCGCTGCGTGGAGGCGCACGCGCACACGGCCGCAACCCGGCGAATGTGCTGCACGGCGCACCCCAGCGGGGGGGCCCCAAAGAGCTCGCACGCCCACGCGACCATGCGCAAAGGAGACGCGTACGTCCGGAGAGTGGACGGCACCGTTTTGCACAAGAAGCGATCTTGCACCACTCTGTCTGCAAGGCTCACGACATCGACCCCCGACGCGCGGGCCTCTTCTAGGGCCCTCAGGACCTGGCGGGGCGGGGCCCCGTCAGGATGCCGGGGGGCGCAGCCTCTGTCTCTGCTCAGCGCCACCATCATGTCCCAGTTGTGCCTCTCAGATGCCTGCCCGAGTGCTTCCACAACGCGCCAGAAGACGCCCCATGCGGACGCTGGGCCGCCGGCCGTGGCGGCGGCAGAGAACGCCTGTACCCCGCGAGGTGGAGGCGAGGCGACGCGCGGGCAGCGCTGCGGACTGCCGTCGCCACCGAGGCCAGCGGGGCCAGAAGGCCAGACAGCGGCGCCGCCGAGGGCCCGGCGGGGCCAGAGGGCGACCGCAGTGGACTCGGAAGCCTGCGCGGCGCTGCGGGCGCCAGCTGGGGCGGCCAGAACGCCCGCCTGGCGCTTCACGACCCGGGCCGTGGCCCGCGCCGCCTGGGCGGGGCGCCGCGGGGGAGAGTAGGTAGGCCCCACCCGGTGCAGCCTGGGTGCCATGCGGGAAGCGCCCCGGCCGCCGCAGGAGCCCTCGGGCCGGCGTGGCTGCCGCTCGCGCGCGGCGGCGTCTCCTGTCGTCCTCCGCCATGCGCTCCTCGTCTGTGGTCCACCCCGTCGTCTTCCTCCTCGTCGTCCTCCGTCCTCCCCTGCCTGCTCCTTCCCCCACATGCCGGCCGGCCGGCTCTGGACCTGGGGGGGCAGACATTTTTGCCACGGCAAACGAGGAGGGGGAGGGCGGACCAAAGGGGAGGGGGAGACGGCAAGGGAGGGGAGGGGAAGGGGGAAGAAGGACAGGGGGGGGGACGACGACGACGACGGCGACGACAGAAACGACGACGACGACAACGACGACGGAGCGACGACACGGAGGCAGCAGCACCCGCAGGCGACACCGACGACGCGAGGAGCCACTTTCCAGCAAACGCGGCGCGACTCCAGAACCGACTATGTACAATGGCAACGGCTGAAGTCCACCGTAAGCGTGGGGGTGGTAGCGACCACCACAGCCCCAAGCTCACGAAGGGCTGCTTCCCCGCCCTCGCGGGAGGCAGCGTCAAGGGGATTTGAGGCCGTGTGAACGTACTCAAACCAGCACCTGATGTCGAAAGTACACACCAGGTCGTGTATTGCCCCAACCACGCAGGCGACGTGGGGGGAACGGGCGTACCCTTTGATACACCCACAGACTGCCGCTGTATTGTCCCCGAAGCAGAAAAGAGACAACGATCGTAGCTCTTCGCCCCACACTTCTAGAGCCTTGGCAATCCACCATGCCTCGGCGCCATTGACGGCGTGTTCAGCGCTCGGCCCGAGCGTCTCCAGCACAGCAGGCGGGAGAACGAGGCTGAAGCCTTCGCAGAAACCCCGCGCTGGGATGGCCAACATAGCGGCGACTCTGCTCGTGCCCATGGCGGCGTCGCCATACAGCACAGCGACTGGGGCGCCAGCGGGCACCAGGGGCACTGCGCGCGGGGGCCCCCGCCTGAGCAGCTCCGCCCAGAGGTGTAGGGAAACTTGCACCTGAGGCGGCCACGAGCCCGCCCTTTGGATGGCTTCGATTTTCCCTAAAGCCTCGAACAGTGGACGCCTGGCGTGCGCGCCGGCCTTGCCCTGAAGGCCCCGCGACGCAAAAACTAATTTCCCTATGCAAGTGGACGCTGTGCCCGCCTGCGGGCGGCTGCGCGCCAGGTCCTCACACTCCAAAGCTAGCGGCCCCTGCCTGCAACTGCGGTTGCCGACGAGGGGGCCCTCTGCGCGAGAACTAAAAACCAGCCCCAACAAAGGGATCGTGAGACCATGCGTGGCCTTGGCCTCATTAGTGCCGTACTCGAGGACCTTAAGCACCTCTCTGGTGACAAACCGGGCAGACGCTGCGCAGAAGGGCGGTTCCCACGACCAGTAGTCGTCGAAGTAGTTACCGGCATTAATGAAAAACCACCGGTTTAAAATATCCCGGAGACTCCGAAAAACAACGTTTGAGTTGGTTACCGCACCACCTGTGCCGAAGTCCTGGGACAGCAGCTCCCGGCCGACCACTCATTTGTCGCGAGGGTGCCAGAAAAGTTGCACCACCCTGACCGGGTCGCGGCGGCGCCCGACCTGGTGGTAAGCCTTGCGCAAATCATCTTTGCACCCCACTGGGGGCACGCCGAAAGCTCTCTGCGAGGCGACCATCTGTGCAAGAATCACCTTGCTGTCCGAACACACTATGCGCTCGGCCGCCGCCCAAGTTAAATTAAAGCAGCACCCGCCTGGCGAGTCGGATGCGTCGGCGCACGCCCTGATTTCCGTGGAACAGGACGCCTGGCCGGACTCGTCCTCCGACCACCGTTTTTGGCAGACGGCGAACTTGCGGCAGAAAGCGACATTCGCCCCGCCGCCAGCGCCGCCTTGGAAGTGCTCCACAGGCCAGGCGGGCCCCAGCGAGCCAGTGGCCTCCGCCTGGGCGCCCTGCTCCCAGACCTCGGCCGCGCGCGGGTGGCTCCTGCGCACGCGATCAACCAGCTCTGCGTTGCGCCCGGCGGAGTGCGCCAGCAGCTGCTCGACCGACCACTCCGGCGCCGCTGCCGGGAGCGGAGGAAAAATGCCAGAAGCGGCCGGCACCCCGGTGTCGGGCAGGCCCCGGTGCAAGTTCTCTAAAAACTGCACCGCCGGGGACCCGATGAGGCGCAGGAGGCGGAGGAAGAGAAGGGTGGGCTTGCTAGCGAACCCCCGGAGGGCAGGGTCCACCGACGCGGCCAGGCTTTGCTGGCTGACCTCAAGTTCCCGCTTCCACACTTTTAACAAGGCCAGCCGTTTCAGCCGCACCTCGTTGATGCCTGCGCCGAAACGAAGTTGCGCTGCCAACGCGCACGCCGTGCCCTCCGCTATCACGGGGAGCTGATTCAGCGGGTGGCTTCCTGCGGCGGCCAACTGCAGGGCCACCCGCAGGTGCTGCGCGGGTGGCAGTCCCCGCGAAGGCACCGTGGCGACGGCGCCCCGAGGGTGAACGGCCACTGTGGAGTCGGCGACCCAACCGCGGGCCACGGCGAAGGCTTCGCCCTCGCCTGGAAGAGCAGCTCCAGGAGCGCCTGGAACTAAGGCGAACAGGTCTGCGTTCGTCTGCAGGGCAGCAAGCGACCCCACTCTCGACCCCCAAATGCGACAGACATGCTGCAGGGCGCACGCGCGTGCGCACAGCGAAGCGAGGAGGGGGAGGTGAGAGTCTAACTTTGCTTCACCTTTGTGAATCCGAGTTTAGAGCCCGCGTGCCCAGCACGCGCGACCAGGACACAGCACAATTTTGCATTGAAGCCGTATGTCGGTATCGTTTATCCGATCCCCATCCCCCTCTCCATCCCCTTCGAGACCCCCACCAAATTATCACCCCAGTTGGGGATGCACCCCTCGAAACCCGAAGGGAACGGCCTATATCCCCATCTAGGGGGGTAAATCGGCCAGCGGGGCCCAGGCCACGCCGCTGGGGATGGGGATCGGTTAAACGATAATCAGTATGGTATGGCAGCGGTGGTCGTAAAGCTGACCGGGTCACCCCGTCGATGTTCCGCGGCAGCGTGACGTTGGCATCCACGCCTGCCACCACCTGCAACCGAGATCCGTATTTGGACACTTTTTTTGATCTGCGGGCCGAGAGCGAACCTCTACCGGTAAAGACTCAGCGGGATGCCTGGAGAGACAGGGCGCGGGAAGGCGGGGCCTCAGGCGGCCGAGAGCGGGCGGAGTTAGGGGTACAGGCGGTGCCGTACTGGGCGTGCAGGGCAAGGAACGCCTTGTACACGAACCGAGGGCGAAGTCCGTACTTGGACACGCAACGTTCAAAATATTCGATGGTTCCTGCTCTGGCCTCCTCGAAATAACTGGCATGGAACTCGGACTCCTCAGCACGACCCTTGAAGATACGATGAGCACTAGAAATCAAAGTATCGACACCGCCGCCCATAGCCAAAGCCATTCCGCTCCAGTACCTCGCATGCTGCACCCCTCTGATTCTCGGATTCATCCCGATCGAATCCATCCCGATGGGCAGGGGGTACCAAAATGGTACCCCTCCAAACCACCCAAACGCCCCCACCAAAACGCTCCCCGAAAGCCGACGCTCCATCCCGATGGGCAGGGGGTACCAGAATGGTTTGGGAGGTGGTTTGGAGGCCAAGAATCGAAATTCCATCGAGAATCCATTGAGAATCCAAGAATCGTAATTCCATCGAGAATCGAAATTTCATCGAAATTCCATCGACTCCATTCTCGGATTCCATCGAGAATCCAGGGGTACCCAAGAGCCAACATCGAATCCATCCCGATGGGCAGCCGCGTCGGCCCTGGTGCGGCCTGAGTGGACGACAGAGCCAGCCCCAGTCAGCACCCTACCACTGGTCCAGCAGGGAACTTCCATGCTGCACCCCTCTGATTCTCGGATTCGGGCTCCGGGGCACCAAAAAGCCCAAATCGAATCCATCCCGATGGGCAGCCAGTCCCAGTCAGTCCCAGTCAGCGCCCTGCCATTGGTCCCAGTCCCAGCGGCCTGAATGGACGACAAAGCCAGTCCCAGTCAGCACCCTACCACGGGTCCAGCGGGGAACTTCCTGGAGACAAGTCACAGCAGAACCCATGCCCAGCTGTCTCAAACCACGTGCGACCCGCTCTGCTCCGCGAGGGGGTCTTCTGTGCACGTTGCAGGTTGCAACCGAGACAGACACCAAAGCCGGTCCCGAATTAGGCACCTCCTGCGGTATCCCGTGAACGATGCCATAGCCTCGGCCTCGTCCCAGAATTTTACGCCTTGCAAGCCCTCCGCACACCACTGGATAGCACCCCCGTGCAACACCCAGCAAAGCTCCGTAGCAGGTTTGGCTCCACGCGAACCCTCTTCTATAGAAGTAGCGATCGTCAATGTGTAATACGGTCCCCAGGTAGCCCGTGGCTCCAATGTTTGTAGTTTGTCCGCTGCCCAATCCGACAACTTCCCGAAGGTCTGCCACACCTTGAGCACGTCGGGATGGGGTTGGGCACGAGCTCCGAGTTGGATGTTCCCCCTTGTACTTGTTGCCGGGGTCCCGGAAGAAGTCGTTCCATGTATTTTTGATCTCCTCCAGACGGTCGGTGCACAGGGGAATTCGAATATAGTGGTTTCTGCTGGACTGAAGCTCGAAATCACGAACATGGATCCGAAGATCTTCATGAAGAACATTGTTCATCCTCTCGACCAGCGCAGCCGCCTCTGTCCTGTCGATGCCCATCGTGTCCCGCTGTTGGAACGCACAGAAGCCGAGTATGTCCACGAAGGTCGGGGTGAACTGGGGAGTTGAGGAAGAAACACCTTCGATTGCACGAACCCTGGAGTCCAGCCACTTCTGATCCTCCTCAAGTTTTGTTCTGTCACTTTTCATGCCCTGGACGTCCTGCCTGGTGGGGGTCAACATCCGTTTTATCTTGGACGCTCTAACGCCTCGCGCCCTCCCTCCATCCAGGTCCGGTCCATGGGTAGGGGGTAGGGGGAGGGCCAAGCTACCCACCCGCCCGCAAGCCGTCTAGCTCACTCCCACCCGCCCTCCCAACACATAAGTAACACCTGAGCCTGAGCATGTTCAGCGGTCGTATTCGGATGGACAGCTATTTGGAACCAAAGCCGACCGCAGGTGCGCGACTTTTGGGCGAGGTGCGCCACGCGTGCCAGGGGCGCCACGCGCGCTATGCACCCCTGGGGCCCGAGCGTGCCAGGTGCGCCTGGTGCGCCAGATGCGCCACGTGCTCCGAGTGAGCCAGGTGTGCCGCACAACTCCAGCCGCGCCAGGTGCATCACGTTTGGGGCACGTGCAGAGTGCGTCAGGTGCGCCTGTGCACGTGACAGCGCACATCGGGAAACATGCCGGCCCCCCTTGTCGAAAACCAATGCCCATAATTGTGTCTGGTGGGCCTGCGCACAGCAGGCCACGCGCCACCACCCCCGCCGTCCCTGTCAAAAACCATTTGACAGTGATCGCGGGGTGGCCGCGCATGATCCAGATTTAGTCGCGAGGTATATTTGTTGTATTGTTTTTTTGTTGTCAGGCATGGTAGCCCTGCGCACAGCAGGGAATATGCTGACACCCCCGCCTTCCCTGTCAAAAACAAGACAAAGCGCTCGCGGGCCTCACTAACATGACTCAAGACTTTGTCCCAAAGTGTACTGTGTATTGTTTTTTGCAGGGATGGTGGGGGAGGTGGCCGCATCGGGTTGGCCGCGCATGCTCCAAATGTGGAGGCATTGTGCGTTTTGTATTGCTTTGTTGACAGGGATGGTGTGGGGGGGGTGGCCCCCATGGGGTTGGCATGGTTCCGGGTTGGCCGCTGGCAGGGTGGGGGGGGGGTGTATATCTTATAGGGAACAGTGATTAATCCCGACGGGGAAGAATAGGGGTTGGAAGAGGAAACGCTCTAAACCAATCACGCCCTAGAGGGCTGGTGGGATTCCGGCCCGAGGGGTTGGTGGGAGGACTGTAAGGTCTTCACAGGGTGTTGCAGGATCGGTTTGCAGGGTATTGCAGGGTATTGCAGTGTATTGCAGCGGTCTGGTTTTCAGGGCACTGTAGGGTATTGCAGGGCTGTTTTGCAGGTTATAGCAGGGCTCTGCAGGGTCGTGGAGTCGGCTTTGCAGTTGGGCTTTGCAGGGTACTGCAGGGGAGTCGGCGAGGTCATGGGGAGAGGGTAGGGAGAGGGGTTCTATTAGGAAGGCGGAAGAAGAAACGCCCCAGACCACCTCCGCCTAGAGGGCTGGTGGGATTCAGCGCGACGGCGGCTCGCGCCCGTCCCTGTAGTTGAGACAGCCCAGCTGAGGCGGCGCCCTCCTCCTCCACCGCCTCTGAGTGGTGGTGGTGGTCACTGCAGAGAGGACGTCAGTTCCCAGCAGAACAACTCGCACCACGACCACGAAGACGACGACGACGCCGGCGCATAACTGAATGCTGCGTTCCAGACGTCGCAGGGATGGCCCCTTCCCGAACCCGCGATGTCGGAGCGGATCGTAAGCGCGCCTCGTCTCCGTCGTCGTTCGCTGTCGTCCTCACCGCCGTCGTCGACGTCGATATCGATGTCGACGTCGACGTCGATGTCGTTGTCGATGTGGTCATCGTCGTCGTCGCTGCCGTCGTCGTCGCCGCTGTCGTCGTCGTCGTCGTCGTTGCCGTCGCTGTCGTCGTTATCTCCGTCGTCGTTATCTCCGTCGTCGTCGTCGTCGTCGTCGTCGTCGTCGTCGTCGTCGTCGTCGTCGTCGTCGTCAGCGCCGCCGCCGTCGTGGTCGCGGTGCCTGCTTCTCTGCTCCCAGGGGGATGGGCGGATGAGGAGCCGGCGGCGTTGCAGCCTCCTCCTCCTTCTGCTCCTGCTCCTTCTCCTCCTGCTCCTCCTCCTGCTCCTCCTGCTCCTCCTGCTCCTCCCCCTCCCCCTACTCCTCCCCCTCCTCCCCGTCCTCCTCCTCCCCCTCCTCCTCCTCCTCCTCCTCCTCCACCTCCGCCTCCGCCTCCCGACCGCAAGGCGCCCTGGTGTCGAGCTGGGCCCTGCTGGCCGCGGAGGCGCCCCGCGCCCGCGGGCGCCCGGGGGCGGGGCCCACGCCGTGCGGCGGTGCGGGGGCGTCGGCTGGCGACGATGACGACGACGACGACCACGACGACCACGACGACGACGACGACGACGACGACGACGACGACGACGACGACGACGACGACGACGACGACGACGACGACCACGACCACGACCACGATGACGACGACGACGACGACGTTGATGGTGATGGTGATGGTGCTGCTGCTGTGCGGATGTTCATGCTGCTGCTGATGATGATGATGCTGATGCTGATAGCGATGATGATGATGATGATGATGATGATGATGATGATGATGATGATGATGATGATGATGATGATGATGATGATGATGATGATGATGATGATGATGATGATGATGATGCTGATGCTGATGATGCTGATGACGCTGATGATGGTGATGATGATGATGATGATGACGATGATGATGATGGTGCTGATAATGATGATGATGGTCATGATGGAGACC